AGCAGGAAGAGCAAGGGGGAGAACACGAGCCAGCTGACTAGGCTGGTCCAAAGACTTCAATGTATATGTTTTTGGTTGAACTGTGTCATGTGGCCACACCCAGCTCCAAGGGAGGCTGAGAAATTGCTGTACAGCTGGGCAAATTGCTGCCCCCAAATAAAAGTGGAGTCCCATTGTTAAGGAGGAAGGGGAGAACAGATGTTGGGAAGGCAGTCAACAGAGCCTGAGACATCTTTTCTGAGGGGCAGGGAGAATCTGAAGGGCCTCTTGCTGTAGGTAATCATGAAGCCATAGAACTTTGCAGATGTTGTAGACCAATCTTCTAATTTTGCAGTTATAAAGATTGGAGCTTCTGGTTAATGAAATTTGCACAAGGCCCGTGTGACTGTAATGGCTGAGAGAGGAGTAGAGCCAGGTTCATGCCCAGTTCTGGCTCATTGCTGCTTCCCCCAGGACTGAGGGGCCACACAGTAGCCTATATGTTATCTCCTCTGCAAACCAAAGGAGATAATAATGCCTGGGAGTTTAAGTGTATGAAACTAAACCTCAAGACTTAGGCATGTTAAGAGTTAGAAAAATTATAGAAGAATTTTTCTATGTTTTATAAAACCTGAAATTTTGGTGTTTTTTTTTTTTATTTTCTTAAGTATATAATGCTAAATAGGAGCTCAGTTTTTCTACATTCAGTATGGTGTTTTTTTTTTCCTCCCAACAACCACTCTTTTTAGGTATGTTTTTTCATCCTTTTCACTGGTAAAATTTATGAGCATTTATTTAAAAGAAAAAAAACACTGGAAAATCTAAAGAGAGAAAGAGCGATTATACATATGGAAACCCATAAAGAACCACAGCAAATGTGCTGCGGTTATTGCTTTCTTAAGAAAACAAACCAACCAGGCAGTTTGGAATGTGAGAGTCCTGTGTGAGGCCAGCCAGCGGCAGAGGCTGAGGGTGATGGGCCAATGGCCGCTATCCAAGAGGCCAGTAAGGTGCCATCCACTTCCCCCATCCTCCTCCATCTCCCCTCTGATCACTTCAGAAAGACGATGGGCCAGAAAGAAAATGACTTTACAAAAAAAAAATTAAAATATAAAATTCTTCTTTAGAAAAACAAGAAAGCCCAGGCAGTCAGCTGGTACAGGCTGTGAGAGAATCCAGGGAACGTGGGTGTGTAAGTGCTTCAGAGCTGGTCAGTAGACCGACATGATGCGTAGGAGGGAGTGAGAAGGCCTGCTGCAGACCAGGGCAGGAGGTCAGCCAAGGGCAGGCCCAATAGGATGGATCTGTGGAACTTGTTACCATTCCCAAGGATTTTCTCATCTGAGAACCTCGAAGGCTGATCTGGCTGCCTGGATTTGTCCTTCCAACCTCCTCAGAGGAACACTGCTTGTCACTTTGTTGATGTCTGAGAGCCAGGCCTAGCTGCTGCCCTTTCCAGACACAGTCATGAGTATGTTGGGACGGAGGCTGGGGTGGGCTCTGCCAACTGTTCCCCGGCAACAAGTCCATTTCTTTGCCTGCAGCTGTGGGTTCTACTGACTGTCTCCACTTGATGTGGGCTGCTGATGTGGCAGCTAGGCTGCCAGGCTCCTCCGCCTTGTCCCCAAGAGTGGCCTGCCTGAGTGGGACATGATGCCTTCCATCTCAAGCTTGGGGGCAAAAAATGTTCTTCTTGGTGTTTTGAAGAACAACTCTAGCCTGTTTGGTCTTCCAAGTTTCTTCCCTGAGTATTTGGAACATTCCCTGGAAATAATAACATGCTTGCAAAGCCATTCCATTTGGCTTGCCCCGTGGGTATCCTCTTGCTCTGGGGTCTGCAACGGCCTCTTGCTCTCTCCTAACCACCTTCGCCAAGCTCTGTGGCTCTCCTTCCACTTCCCTACCTGCTCAGCGCTCCTCCCCCAATTCCCCAAACCATAGCTAAGACACCATGGGGGAGCATTTTATAAACTTGTCCTTGGGATGAAGAAAGAAAATACATTACAAGAAAAAGAAAAAAAAAAAAAAGAACCACTTAAGTTGGACACTGGATATCTCTGGTGTTAGAATTGGTGTTTCCTGTCCTTTCACGGGTTAATCCCAATAGGTCTTTGCCTTCCTTGACCTTCTGTTGGCTCCGACATTGCCTAGTGCTCCTCCCCACAGGATGCTCCCAACTCTCCTCTCAGGCTCAGCAGAAGCACCCTCCCTATTTGTCCTTGTACATGGTGGCTTGTCCTGGCTTAGCTCCTCTCTGCTGCAGGCCTCCATTCTGAGATCTGGGCTTTCTCTTGACATTTACTGAAAAACTGTCCAGCTGTGACACTGCATGATTCTAGGACATTTGATTTTTTTTTTTTTTCTGCAAAACAAATCAAATTTTATCCAGCCCTTGCCAGTGACTTCCTCTTGAGTATAGATCCCAGCCTGGTGGTTTCTTTCTGGGTCATGAGCCTTGATGCTCTGCCTGTCCCCCAGCTTTGGGCCTAAGGTCCCCAACTTTGCCCTTGCTTTGGACCAACATGAAACAATCCATGGCATGGGCAGGCAGAGCTGTGGCCTCACCCCTCAGCTACATTCTAGAATTTATTATTTAGCAAGAGATAACTTGTAGTTTCCTGAGGTGCTCTGGAGGGACCCAGGCTTAGCTTCTCCCTGAGTCTGTCCTCTACTAGTATGCTGCCAGCCTCCTATCCAGTAATTTCAGTTTATAGCATTGAACTCATCTTTTCCCGCTTCATATACATTGTATGATTTTGGGGCATCTTTGATGGCTGGTTGGAGGCAGAATGAGGCACTCTATTTTTGTGTGTGGTACTAGGTATGGACCCCACTGAGCCACATCCCCCAACCCTTTTTATTTTGAGACAGGGTCTCACTAATTTCCCAGGCTAACCTCAAACTTGAGATCCTTTCCTAGTGTGAAACAGAAGAAACGCTTGAGGTCACAGTACTGCAGGATGAGGGACACCCCTGAGCAATGGGTAGGACTAGGTTCCTGGCCTGAGGAAGTTTACAGTATCCTTAAGGAGACAAGAATAACACCCCAGGAACAATGAAGGAGAAATAAATGTGAATTCTGCGTTCAAGTATCAGTTCCCCTTTCCCTCCCTCCCATTGGGATCCAGGTCAAAGGCTACCCCTTGATGAACTCTCTCCTTGAGTGCCCACAATGTATCTCTGAGCCCTCATGAAACTTTTCATATAGCATCACAGAAAATGTGCAGTTAGGGTCTCTTGTAGTGAGGACAGCAGCCCCAGTGAGTCCCTGGAGGTCTAAGTCTGTGTCGTCGCCAGCTTCTCAGAGACCAGCTTCTCAGAGTCTGACTCCTACAAGAGCACCTTGGCCAGGAGTGGGGCTGGGAAGTCCCTTTCAATGGCCTAGACCCCAGAGGGGATGTTCCCTGCACAGGGCTGCACAAAACCAGGAAGGCATGGAGCCAAGCAGATGCAGGAGCTGGATAAGGCAGGGGACCCCAACTCTATTCTAAGAATAAGAACAGAGCTGGTCCTCAGGGGTATGGGAGAAGGAGACACCTCACACAAGGCCCCAGTTAGCCGGTTCCTTCTGCTCTGCTAGACCCTGAGCTCCCCAAGGTCAAGGCGGTCTGACTGGGCATTGCGGCAGGGTGGAGCTCAGTGGCTGGGCCAGAAGGTGAACGAACAAAGGAGTGGTCCTTCCAAGAAGGAGCAGATTTGGCTCGCTGTGAGTATCCTCTTGCCCTGGGTCTGCAGTGAGCCCTGCCTGGGGCTGGAGCTCAGGCAGGGCAAGTGCAGCGGGGCGGGGGGGGGGGGGAATTCAAGTCTGCTGAGGGGATATCCAAGTTTATGGTCTTCCTAGGCTCCAGACAGAGTTGTGTGCATATACAATGGGCCACCGTGCCTTGGCCTAGCAGGGCTGACTGAGAAGCGGGTGTGGTGAGGAGGCCGAGGGAACAGATTGAAACCAGAAAAGGACCTCCTGTGCCGTCATTACCGGCCAAGCCCCTGATACAGAGCAGGGCCCCAGGTGGTGCTGGTGAACCCCTGGAGGCCCTGTGGATTAGGGTGGATTTGGGTTACACATCTCTGCAATGAGATCAGCAACCAGAGCCAAGCAAATTCCCTTGGTGAGTTCCCAGCTCTCCTGTCCACTGTGCGATCCCAGCCTGGGTCTGGCCCTGCTCCCACAGCCCTTTCTATTCAGATGATCTCTGGTTCTAGTTTCAACCAAGGGCACCACAGACCCTGGGGACCCATGGTGGTGGGGTGGGGGGCAATGCTGGCTAGAACTGGGTTTCTGATTCAGTTGCTGCTGCTACAGGCTGACTCCTACAAGAGCACCTTGGCCAGGAGTGGGGCTGGGAAGTCCCTTTCAATGGCCTAGACCCCAGAGGGGATGTTCCCTGCACAGGGCTGCACAAAACCAGGAAGGCATGGAGCCGAGCAGATGCAGGAGCTGGATGAGGCAGGGGACCCCAACTCTATTCTAAGAACAGAGCTGGTACTCAGGGGTATGGGAGAAGGAGATACCTCACACAAGGCCCCAGTTTTTGTTGCCTCTGGAAGTCCTGGCTCCTTTTCCACTGGACCCTAAGCAAACCGGACCACAGCCCAGCTGCAGGTGCCTGGGGCTGTGGGCCACAGGTGAGTCCCAGCTGGGAGACCTCAGGCCCAGCTGATCCTCATGGCCAAGGGGGGGCCTGGCTTATCTTTCCAGCTGCCCCATTCCCTACCACTTTATCATATCAGGGAGGGTGAGAAGGTGCCAGAGCTTGGAACCCCCACCCCCCCTTCCTGTGAGACCTGGTCCAGGTGCAAGAGGAGCACAGCCCTTGGGCACAGCCAGGAGAACGCTGCCCTGGGTTTAAAAGGCCCAGATCTCAGTGTCAACCTCAGTCTGACCTTTACGGCTGCAGCATGAGGGGGCTGCTGGTTTTGAGTGTGCTGCTGGGAACTGTCTTTGGCCATGAGGACTTTGTGGGGTAGGAGTGTGGAGAGGAGGAGGACGAGAGCCCAGAGGGGAGACGGGGAGGACTCACCCTAGCCAGTGTCTGGAGGAGACAGACATGCAGGAACCAGCCAGAGAGCACGGCCAGCACCACCCTGGGGCGGCAGGCTGGCGGAGGTCCAGGTCTCTCAGGACAGTCTGAGCCTTGGAGATGAGGAGGAATTTGCAGTAGAGGAAGAGAGAGGAGGCCTGGCCAGTTTGGGAGAGAGAAAAATAATCTAAATAGATGGGGACAGCAATAAGTCTAGAATTTTCCAAGATGGGGAGAGCCTGGCTTCCCATGGCAGAGACTTTGGTGCCTCTTCCTACTCCAGGCCAGAGGACCCAGGCCCACACTGGGGATCCCAGGCTGCCTCTTTCCTGCTCTGGGGAGTGTTGGCAGCCAGGGTAGGAACTGGCTGGGGTGCTCAGTTTTCATCCCACTTTGCCCAGGCACCAGGTGCTCCGAATCTTTGCAGCTGACGAAGCCCAGGTGCAGAAGGTGAAGGAGCTGGAGGACCTGCAGCACCTGCAGGTCAGAGGCAGGGAGACCCAGAGACCCCACGGTACCTCCCAGGCCAGCTGGGCTCCCTACTCCCCGACTTTAGTCACTGGTACCTCCCAGAAAGAGTCACTGGACTGAATGGGCCCGGTTAGGAAGTGACTTCAACCCCGCAGTTTCAGATCTTGCTGCCCTGGAGCATCTAACAAAGTGCCAGAACCCTCTTTCCATTTCCTTATCTCTGCCCCTAACTCCCATGCTCCATCCCCCTCTATACTGAGGCTTCTGGCACCAACACCCTCTCCCAAGCTTGTCCTGTCCCAGGCTGCTCTCCTGGCTGATGTCTCTAGCCCACTCAAACAGTGCCGGCTTCTGTCCTCCCCAGCTGGACTTCTGGAAAGGCCCTACCTGGCCTGGCTCGCCCATCGACATCCGAGTGCCCTTTCACAGTCTCCAGGCTGTCAAAATCTTCCTGGAGGCCCAAGACATCAGGTACGAGATCATGATCAAGGACCTGCAGTCACTACTGGATGAGGAACAGGAGCAGATGTTCGCCTTCCGGGCCCAGGTCCAATCTACCAACACCTTTAACTACGCCACCTACCACACCCTGGAGGAGGTGAGGGCAGCCCTTTGGCCACTCCCCTCAGGCACCACTCTCTTCCTCACAGCGGGCAGAGCGTGGGCCTGAGTCAGGGTCAACCTGGGGGTGGGAGGCACCTGCTCTGTGTATATGTGGCTGGTGTGATCCAGGTCATGGCTCCATCACATTGCAGGACTGTTGAGGGAGGTGTCTGGGCACCCAGAAGCCACCAAGGTCCTTCCTCCCTTCTTTCCCATCTCAGATCTATAACTTCTTGGACCTGCTGGTGGCTGAGCACCCACAGCTTGTCAGCAAGATCCAGATTGGCAAAACCTATGAAGATCGACCCATTTATGTGCTGAAGGTAAAGGGTGCCCACATGTAGATGTTCATGGCCCCCACCATGGGCATCTGTATATGGGCATAGGTCTCACACTGTTGTACAGATTCCCTGTGTAGACATTTGGGAAGGTCTGAGCTTCCTGGCTGGCCTGGGTATGTTAGGTGTGTATATACAAGTACACACACAATTTAAACTTTTCGGTGACCCAAGTGTTTTCAACCAAATGTCACAGTATGGAAAGTATTCTGGGTAGCACAGGCAAGAGTTTTGTTGGTGACCTCCCACAGAGAACTGTACAGAGCAGGGGCCTGGAAGTCAGGTTGAGCCATATTGGCTCCAAGCTGGGGCTGGGGGCAGGAGGTCAAGCTCTGTGGGATCTCTGTTCAACCCACCTGAGTGGTGGTCCCACAAACAAAGCTTCAACCTGAGATACCAGAGAACAGGTGGCCTCTGGCCTGGGTGGATTTCCCTTTGGGGAATCCACCTTCCCCTTGCCCATTTCCCTGCCTCTTCCCTAGTTCAGCACTGGAGGGAACAACCGTCCTGCCATCTGGATTGACACAGGCATCCATTCCCGGGAGTGGGTCACTCAGGCCAGCGGAGTCTGGTTTGCAAAGAAGGTAAGGCTGGGGAGGTGAGGAGAGCTCTCGCCTGGTGGGGACTGGTACCAAGGCCCACAGAAACCCTGGCATCCCCTTTCCCTTCCAGAAGCAGTGGCCCCAGAGGTGTTCATTGCTCAGCATGGCAGATGCCTGATTGGAGCACTCTGCCCTCTCCCTCTCTTGCCTCCTCCCACCAGATCACTCAAGACTATGGCCAGGACCCCGCTTTAACTAACATTCTTAATAATATGGACATCTTCCTGGAGATTGTTACCAACCCTGACGGTTTTGCTTTCACCCACAGCAAGGTACAATCTTTCTGTTCTCAAGGAAAGTGGGATGTACTCTGGCCTTAGCCCCACAAGTGACTCACCCTCTCCAAGCCCCCTAAGTTGTGGGAGGGGGAGCAGAACTGCCCTCCTGGACAGGATTCTCAGCCTGACACTATGGACATTTTGGTCAGGTGGTTCTTTGTTGTGGGGGGCCAACCTGTGCATCTCCTCCTACCCACTAGATGCAGTAGCACCTCCCACTTCCCTCCAGTTGGAAAAACCCAGAGTATCTTCAGACACTGCAAAATGATGGACAAAATTGTCCCCAGTTGAGGCACACCACCCCAGACCTTGCTTCCCGGTCCTACTTTTATTTTTAACACAAATACAGTTTCTGATGCAGAGTGCAGTGGGCTGGCTGATCCCTTTTCTTTCCTCAGAATCGCATGTGGCGCAAAACTCGATCCCTCACATCAAACTCCCTCTGTGTTGGTGTGGACCCCAACAGGAACTGGGACGCTGGCTTTGGGAGTAAGGCCCAGTGTGATTTAGGGGGCAGGCATGGGACCACCCAGAATAGCTTCTTACCCTCCTGGCTAGTTGCACAAGCAGTGAGGAAAAGGTAGCGAGTGGGGTGTTAGCCCTGTACCTGGGCTTTCAGAGTTGGAGGTCCTTGTCTGTAAAAGGAAGTTCCTTCTAGATGGAACTAAGTTCTGAAAGTTCATCTCAGGCTTTTCTATCCTAACCTCAACTCTTTCCTGTCTCTGCCACATCACTGGAAGAACTGGCCTCAGCTTAGGCCAAATCTGGCTGGTAAGGGAGGCAGGTCCCCAGATTATAAGAAGGCTTTGGTCTTTCCTAAACGAGGGCCTGGATCCCACCTCTCCCAACTCCATATAAAGAACTGGGAACTGTGGAAGCCCTATAAGCCATACCACTTGGGTTAGGAAATGCCAGCTCTGCCCTCTGCCCTCCCACAGATGCTGGCTCCAGCAGCAATCCCTGCTCCGAACAGTACCGAGGCAAGTTCCCCAACTCAGAAGTGGAGGTCCAGTCCATTGTGAACTTTGTGAACCACCACGGGAACATCAAGGCCTTCATCTCCATCCACAGCTACTCCCAGCTCCTCCTTTACCCCTATGGCTACACATCAGAACCAGCCCCTGACAAGGAAGAGCTGGTAGGTGCTGCCTGTTTGCCCTTCATCCCAAGGGCAGCTTTGGGCAGGCCTGGGCTTTCACCCAACAGAGCTGCCTGATGGCTGAGAGCCAGTGTGCTCAGCACCCCCTTCTTCCCTTGTACCCCCGATGATTTGGAAAGACCAGCTACTGGACTAGCCTTTCTTTCTTTCCAGGAAACTGAGGCACAGAGTGGTTGAGCAAGGGGCAGGGCTGGACTTTCAACTTACAGCACTACACTCAGAGCTGCACTGTAACTAAAGGGAGGGGAAGGGACAGCCATCCATATTGCAGGAACAAAGGACCATGGCGTTGTTGATCACCTGCAGGGCAGAACAGGCTCTGTGTTCTCTCCCTCAGGCCCCCTTCTGCAGGTGCTGCTCTGGGACCACCCTGCCAGCTGGACTACTCTGTCCATGATAGTGGCCTTGCTTGTGTGTTTTACAGGATAAACTGGCCAAGTCTGCTGTGACAGCTCTGTCCTCTCTGTACGGGACCAAATACAAGTATGGCAGCATCATCACAACAATCTGTAAGTGGCTGTACAATCTCTCTAGGTAGTCCCCAGACCAACATCAGCTGGCTCTTCCTGCCCAAGGGAGCATCCCTCATGGAAGGAAGCAGCCAAAGGCACCTGGACCTGGGAGCATGGGTGTGCACCCAGGTCCCTTATGCCTGACAACTTCTGGTTTGGTCATTTGGAGAAGTGCACAGAACCTTTTTCTGGCATGAACTTGTCTTCTTTGACGCTTTCAATTGTGGGTTCCTTTGAGCACGCTTGTCACTTTAGCTTGTCAGGACTCATGCATGGATGGGGTGGAGAGCTCTGCTGGAACTCACAGAGCCCCAGGAAATTCAATTAAAGAAAACACTTCTCCACCACCCTTTAATTAAGGAATATACTTGATCTTTTCCCCACTTGCTTATACTGTACATGCGATGCCCGTGGGAGAAGCATTACTATACGGAAATGGAATTCAGTCAGCAAATGCTTAGTGAGCACCCATTCTGCACCAGGCCCTGTTTTGTGTGCTTGGGATATAACTATGAATAAAATAAGCAAAGATCAGAAAACGTATGCTCTAGGAGAGGAGACTGATAACCATCTTAAGTAAACAATTCAGGTTAGGCAAAAAAATGCTGGGGAGAAAAACTGGCACCAGAGCTGGGTGAGGAGAATCGGGCAGCACAGTGTGGAGGTTAAAAACTGAGGGTTAGAGGCAAGTGGCTGGAGGCAGGTGGAATTTGGGCCAGTGTTGAAGGAAATGAGCAGGAAACCAAGAGGATATCTATTTAGGAAAGGGCCTTCCAGGCAGAAGAACTTTCTGGGTAAAGGCTTTACTATGTGTTCTGGCCTGGTGTGTTTTGGGAATAGCCAGGAAACTGAATTGGAGTACTGGAAGTCAGAAGTGGGGTACAGGGAACAGAGGGGTGGACTGCTCACCCACCTCATGTACTTCCTGGCCCATGTGCCCAGGTTTTAGGGGGTGAGTGGATCACAGTCTTACCCAGGGATAACTTCATTTTTGATCCCAGACCTTCTTTAGAAACTGTTCCGATTCTAAAGGAGTTTTTTGCATTTGACATCATCAAGTTAAATTCTTTCTTATTTTTTTTAAACTGAGGATTAAACCCAGGGGCACTTAACCACTGAGTGACATCCCCAGCCATTTTTTTTAAAATATTTTATTTAGAGACAGGGTCTTGCTAAGTTGCTGAGGCTGGATTTGAACTCATGATTTTCCTGCCTTAGGCTCCCAAGCCACTGGGATTACAGGCATGCGCCATGATGCTCAGCAGTCAAGTTAAATTCTGATATGCAGCCTGCCTCTCTCTCCCCCAGCTCAATTTGAAAGTGACTTCATTACCCACAGTTCACTGCAAACCTGGAAAACTTTCTCCCTAAAAGACAGACCCAGGGCTTTCACTTTGACTCTGAATCTTTGCACTTTTACCTGCAGACCAGAGCCCCCAGAGAATTAAACCTCCTCTTCTAAATGGAGAATTCTGGTATATATATATATATATATATATATATATATATATATATATATATATATATATATATTTTTTTTTTTTAATTCTGGTATATTTCGAGGTGTCCTTGAGGTGACTATTGGAT